CAATCTTGAAAATGCAGGTGCAATGCTACTAATTAGGGGCGCTGAGTTGTTGATATCAGAGGTGCTTGTGTGGTTCATCTGCTCTACTTGCGTGTTTCAGCGTTGCCCTCTGTGCAGCTCAGGACATATCGTGTTTCAGAATTAAATCAAGTTTTCTGTCTGTGTTTTCCTGTTCATTACACAAAGTACAGCAACAATTTATGGTACGTTATTCTGTTGAGGCATACTGACTGCTGCGTACTTTTTGAGACAGTCAGTCCAGTAGTGTGGTGATACATGATCACTAGAAATTCGGCAGAGGCATGAGGAGCAGAGTTAGATCCAGATAGTCCAAAATTTTCCTAGTGTTCTCAAGGAACAAAGCTAGATTTATTCTTAGATTTCCACTGCCAGGTTTGGATTTTCAGATGTAACAATGTAGAGGTGATGTTACAACGTACGGTAATATATTCTTAGTGTTCTTCATTTGGATAGTGTTTATTCTGTATTTGGTTGTTCCTAATTGCAGGCAAAAATACTGGTTTTACAAGGGTGTGCGTCAGTGACAACGCACTTAACATTTTCAACCACTTCACAGGATTTTGTTTCTCTGAAAAATAAATCTGTTCACCCTGTTTTCAGACAAGTGATGATGTCTAACATCAGGTGCATGACAGGAGTTCGTTACCATAATGGGAATACCATTCTGGTACACAGGCAGTATATTATAATGACAGTAAGTTATATTCCTAGTGTGGACCTAAACGAACTAGGAGTATGTCAATAGGGCAATTCCTTCTTCCTTCTCAAACTGAGGAAAGCGGGATGGTAAATATACACGTTTGCTGGAGTCTGTATTAGCCTCTTCTGTTGGGGCTCACACCTCCTCGCCTGCCTCCTTGACTGAACGGCACCAAGAGAAAATTGTGATCCTGACTTTGTAAGGGATTTTCTTTTAAGAAAATTAATTTAAGAAAATTTGTTTAAGAAAATCTAGTTTGTGAGAGGTTTAAGGTGTCAGTCTGTATTCTCACTAATGAATGATCTAACACTAACTTTACACAAATTTTGGTTGTTTTACCTGCAAACATGAGACTGTTCTTCAGGCCATTTGTGTACAGTTATGAGATCTTTTTTTCTCAATGGAAATGTGTATCTCTTTGCTGTGTAAAGAAACAATTTGGTCACACCCATATTTATTACCCAAAATCTAATTTATTGATAATACACAAAAATCCCCCATCAGAAAGAGATAAACTTTTCCTCCCTTTGACAGCCAAGATGGTATTCCTCAGCATTTGTTGAGAAGATTCTCTGGAACCTCTTTTTCAGATTCTTTGTCCTCCATATCACAGCACCTCTCTCTGGTGCTCTCGCCTGCTCTTTCACTGATTACTTCCTTAGAACTTAGGTTGATATTACAATGCTTCTAATTAGTCGTATTTAAACTCCTTTGTTCTGAACCTCTCTCCGGTCATTACTAAGAACTGGTTTTCAGATAGTTTTTCCATGTAATTTTATCCCTTTGTTAGAACTGGAGAAAAAAAAAAAACGGTTGGTCTTATTTTTTTGGATTTGTTACACCTAGTGTAACACAACTTTCCAGGCAGCAACTGAAAATGCATGTTTCTCCATTCTTACTGACATTTTTAATACATTTGGTTTTAGCAAGGGTTCAGCTTTTTACTAGTAAATTGTTGGTTCCTTTTGCATTTTGCGGAGGTCACCGAGTGGTTTAAAACGGTTGTATGACAAGGCAGGTCATGCAACTTACACATATTACTGTGTGTAAACTAAAATCAGCGTGTGTATAGATAATACGCTTCCTGTCTGTGTAATACTCCTTGAAAAAATTAGATTAATTTGAGGCTCTCCAGCAGGCTTGCTGCTGTCATTGCAACTCTCATGAGTCATCTCCCGTAGTCCCATCGAGCTCACAGTAATTAATGTTACTGCCTCAGTTCCTCTTAAGATCATCTCACTGGTACTTTGTGTGACACACTGGCCTTCCATCCAGCACAGTTCTGTTTCCTTTCTTAAGCCGTTTTTGGGGGTGCACTCTGCACTGAACAGTGCTACTGTTTGGTAACAGAACCCTGAGCAACGATTCTCCGCCTTCTCCCAAAGAAGGGAGAGTCAGGACCTGTTGCACTGATACATCAACAGCGCAGAGCGACCCACGCGTGGCTTCTGAAGTACCCACGTTACTGCCTCCGCTCTCAACGGCTGCTCGTGTGTCAGCCGATATTGCCGATACGAGAACAGCCCCAGTGACCACGCGGCAGAAGCAGGATGCCAGCAAGGAGAGGAGTTAAAATGCGGGTCTTCCTGATACATCCATCAAAGCTGGGGAAAAGAAGCCATGTTCTTACAAGCCTCCTCTCTCTGTTCTTTGGGGTGGTTGGAAGACACCTGTCAAGGCTGAGCAGGACCAGGGGACTCGGGTCTCAGAGGGCTGGTAAACCACTGCAGTCATTTTGGCAAAGAGTGATGGCGTGAGCCTTCTCACAAGTCTCCCTTAGAAAATATAACGTAGGAAATCAGCACTGGGGTTTTTTTATCCCATTTCTTGCACACATTTTTTTCCAGACAATGGAGCGAAGAACCTTTTCTTAAATAGTACATAACCTTCCTCTAGAAACGTTTCATATCACTGAGCTTATATTATAAAATATGTGAAAAATTAATATTTAAATACACACGTAGGATTTTCTCGTAGATTTAGGTGGCCTTTACCTGTTTGATTCTTATCAGCTTCTCAGCAAAGACGTTGCAGTCATGCTTCCCATAATTATAGCCTGTCTGTTCTTACTGGGGTTTGAAGAGCTGCGTTGCTCCTTGTTGTATAAAAGTAAAAAATAATATCTAACCAGATGAAAAGTGTTAAAATATAGAAAATTGTGTAGCTGATTACCAAAATCTCTTCTGCTCGTTGTTGTAGCACTCACATTTCCCCAACTTCAGTATTTGAAGGGATAACCCTGCAGCTTCTAGGGCGAGGCCTCATTTATTCTCTATGCAGGAACTGGCTTTGCTCACTCAGGAAGGCATTGACAAAGCAACTAAAGGTGCCCAGATCCTGCTGATTTTGTTTGTTTCATTTGGGCCTGTGAAGGTAACTGAGACAAGCAAGCATGCTAAGGGAAACATAGCAGCATTTCTTCTAAAATTTGGCACAGTCAATGGAGGTTTAGACAGATTGTGCCCATTCTGTACAGTGTTCAGGGAAAAAGACTGAAATATTGTTGATATTTCTATAGACTGTGATTCTTTTTTACTCTGTTATGTTCCTCACCGCTTCCTAGGATCCCCCTGGAGATAATTAGATATCATGCTGAAACTCCTTCACACAAACTGAATTTTGAAGAAAGGAAGCAGCTGGATGAGGATGTGTCTGTTGCTGATGTTGAACAGTCAGCCTGTGCCCTTGAACAAAGCCCCCGATCTCAAAGGACTTTCTACTGAAATATATGAATAGTTCCAGCATATTTGGGAAAATTCCCTGACTATAAGCTGAATGAATCATCCACATCAGTTTTATATCTGCTGTTAGCTCAGTTAATATCCGTGTATTAAGAAACAGGATAAGAATCATGAAAGTTGCGTCTCCTACAGAGCCATCTCATTATGCCGTACAGATACCAAATTGCCTTCTACAATGTAATTCTGAACAATTCTTTCCAATTTTGTTCCTTAAGACTGAACTGCTTTCACATGGGAAGGACTCAACTTACGTGCTAGAAGACTACAAGTAATAGTACACTATATGCTGTATTCATCTGAGCATAGAAATAGCTTTTCCTTGTGTACGGTGGAGCTATCATGGCATGGTAACCAAGAAATAGATTTATCTCGGTATATTAACATTCATCTTTACTTTGGATGCAATACAAATCACAGGGGGTTAACTGAATATACTTACAGACAGAATCTTAACGACTAATCTAATTCTGAGATATAAATAACCTGACATTTAAAATGAAGGCAGAAACGCTAAGCTTGTCCTTACCTATAGAATTGAGCTTCCATTGTTCTGAATAGAACTATTCAGTGTGCTTGCATAAGTCTGAATGTGTTATGCTTATAAATTAGTAGATATTAATTACCTGCTGACCAAAACCAATTCAGTTATGACTGAGTGTGTATCCTTTCATATATTGAGAGGAAAATTGTGTTCACCTGTTCTTCTCACGTTGCCTCACCTAGCATGAGAGGAATAAAACTATGGCATTAGTATCCTGTAGTTCGGTCCACTCTGAACTCTGACCTAAGCCTTGATCAGTGGATTGTTGTGGCTTAAAGACCTGTTGCCAGTGACAAAGGACAGACGAATGTCAGCAGAGTTCCAAGCCATGTTTTGTTTCTCAGCCCATCAGACGGCAGCACATGCTGTGCTGACGGACCACGGCCTCTAGCAGGGGGCCAAGGACTTTGACTCATGTCTTTAGATCTGTAGCAGACAAATCAATTGTTCAGCAGTCAGTTTCCTTAGCAGTAAAATAAATCTATGAGGTATATAAAGAATAAAGTACTTAGCAAGTTTTAACATTACCTTCAATAGTGGCAGTTAGATGCCCATTTCGTGCAGCTTTGAGTCTGGTAGAGAAGAGGTCTAGCTCTAAATTCTGTCCTGTAGTAAATTACACTTGCAGTTCTTTATGCGAGCAAAAAGGAAAGATAGTTTTCAAACGTATTTGGTATCTGTTAGGAGACACAACATCAGTGATGATGGTATTACCAGCTGTATCTTGATACATTACCTGTGCACACAGGTTCTCAAAATACTGTGGGATCTGCAGCTGTAAGAGCAGGTACCAGCTGTATGTCCCTTGTTCTTTTTCAAAGTCTACCTTAAAACCTGGTGAGTTATTCTTGCACATACATGCTGGCTTGATAAAACACATAAGTAGTTATTCTCAGAAAACTTAACCCATTCTTAAATGTCAGAGCATACATCTCTCCTCCATCCTGAATTCTGGGAGCTGGCACTTGACATAGCGCTTTTTGCATTCGTTTTCCAGATCACGTGAACGGTCACTGTACGAGCCCAACGTCCCAGAGCTGCGGTTCAGGAAAACGACTTTCCAGTGCGGACGTCTCAAAAGCAAACCGACGCGGGCCTGGGAGGCCGCCCTTCAGAAAAGCACAGTCTGCAGCCTGCATGGAGATTTCTCTCCCGGTCACCACAGAAGGTGGGTGGCAATTAATATTTTGTTAGGTATTTGGGAACTTCTTACCAGGTGTGAAAGCAGTTAGGTTCAGCATGGTCCTTGTCCTAGTCACCACCCTGGACTGCTGTCTTCATCTGACTGTCTAGAACTAGAACAACCCCTGTGTGTGAGCGTTGTTACTAACAGCCTGCTCCTGAGCTCTGTGCTGCCTACGGATGTGGTATGCTGAACCTCACCCAACTCTTACAGCCGTCCCCTCGCCTGTATGGATCGGGTGCTTTCTAACAGATAAGCAGCTTATGTACAGTTATCGTGACAGCTAGTAGCACTAACGCTTTGAACTCTCATTGTCTCTACTTATCAAGCCTGAAAATGAGTAAGATATTTTTAGAATGTGAGTTCAGGCTTTGCACCTGTATACTTATTTATTTATAGGTATTGAAGACCTTATAAAATTCCACAGTCCCTGGCCACCATTTACGGTAAAATTATAGCCCATGAGCTAATCAATTTTTTGTATTTATAATAAGTTTCTTGCTTTAATGCTTGAAAAAACAGTCTTCAAATCTTGATCTACCTGAGTGCAGTCTTGATGAAACAGAGAGATACGAAGTGGACCACTCATGGGAATGCATTGTGCTTAAAACTTAGAAGAAGCCCTTATTAATTTCAGCAGCGCCAGCTATTTCACTGCAGATTGTTCAAGCAGAAGCAGTCAGCTGACATGTTTTTCTTCAATCTTCAGAGTGTTCCTACTCTGCTGTCTGTGTCCTTGACCCTTGTCTCCCATGCTTCCAGCTCCCCCCATTCTTGCAACAGAATAGTGCATTGTCTGTGCAGAAGAGCTACAGCCTATCAAAACCTGAAAAAACATAGCATCTACATAAATTGGGTAGGACTGCAGTGTTGGTTTTATTCAATTTTAGTAATAGGTCAAAATTAATAATATTTAAACAATAGAAATCATAGAGTTTAATATTTGAATAATAAAATAAATAATGTCAACAATTAAGTCTTTCAAAAATCCAGGATTTAATTTTAATCAGGCTGCAGAATAATTTCCTAAGTGCCTAAGAGATGATAATATCGTGTGGCTCTACACTGGGCTGTAGATGGCATGAACACCCCGTGAGGCCATAAGTGGTAGGCAATCAACACCACCACGACCCTAATCCTCTGTCTCATAAGGAGTACTTGTATCCTAACCTGCTCACCTACAAAGGTGTCTGCAGCACGGAAGTTCTTTACAGCTGGAACCAGTGCTCCCTAATTTTGCTGATTGTTAATGGAGACAGAGCAAGAGTAATTATATCACTCATAGTGTCTAACTTTGAATTTTTAAATGTAAATTGTTGCAAATACCTCTGTTACTAGTGGCAAATTGCTAGAATCTTCAATTTATTTTTCTTCTTTATGATACTATAAAATAGCAAATTCTTTTTCGGCCCATCTTCTGACTACTGTGGGATCACAAAACAGAAAGATAATGTCTACGTGTGTGAGACCCTAGAAGAAGATGTCATAATTTGGCAGAAAGGGTTCCAGGAGTGTGTTCTTGAGTAGAGTGGAGCCGATAGGCTGAAGTCCGTTGAAGTCTAGCAGCTCCTTGCATTTGATTTAAGAGCAACATTTACCTTTGTTCATCCATGGGGACAGAGCAATGCGTGGTCAGAGGCTCTCTGCAAAGTGGCTGCGCTTGCTGAAGGCGTTACCATCTTCCAGCTGTGTCTGCAGTAGCAGTCACCTCCCGTCACCAGAGGCTGTCAGAACAGATACTGGTGGAAGAGGGATCTTTTGAGCTGTCCCTTTCTTCTCAAGTACAGAAAAGTTTAGCTTAAGCAGCTTTCTATGTTGGGCTACATTATCCAACTCCCCTTGCGCTAACGCAGATGAGAAGCACCGATGCGATCGCTTTTCCTGGCCTTACTAGGTGAGCATTAACCTTCTGCAGAGGAACAGTGTCAAAAACTTGGGAGTAGCGACATTTCAACTGACACTTCTGTTTCTTCGGTGGCCATCCAACCATCTCTCCTTTATGGGAATGTCACAATATCATGGACTCTTCAAACATTAAGTCATAGGCTGAACAGCAAAAAATGTTAAATTGCATTGTAGGCTTTGTATAACATACGACAAAGTGTAATCCTCAGCGATAAGTTATAAGAACGATTACTATTTAAATACTAAACCCACTATACATTTCAGTTTTAACCTGCATTAATGAATGGTTCCTTTGTGAACATTGTACAAAATGAGATTTACAGACCCCTGAGGTGTTTATGAATTCTTGTGCCGACAGGCAGTTTTCATTTGCAGAATCACCATTTTTTCTCCAAGTTAGTTATTGATGATGATCGTAACATAACCCTTTCACCTACCTCTCTTTATGCACCACATAAATAAGGTAAGTACCACTGTCATATAATAGCTTCTGGTGGAAACCATATAACTCTCTCAGTAGTTTCTATTGCCATGGGTTTGTCTCCATCCTACGTAGCACCAAACTCTTCCAGAATCGTTGTATGCAGATAGGGCTGCAATATCAGCACTGCTCGTACACAGCCGGGCCACAGCACTACCCAATTCTTTTCTGCTGCTGCTTTTCTTTTTCCCTCCCCTCCTCCCAGAGTATGTAGGGTCTCTGGCAGGCGGAACCTACTACCCCTGAGGTCCCACTGACCTTTGAGTACAAACCACTTAGTAATGCAGTGATACTTTTGACGGCGCGATGATGCGCATCTGTATCATGAAAGATTCTGTTTCTGTTGTTCACCGCTAATTATAATACCTATCAAGTTTAATATTAAAGTATATCTCTTTCTTGAGATAATCACCTAACTTCCTTTCAAGGACAAAAAGTAAATTAAAGTGAGTGACACACAAAAGCATCCCCATGTGAAAGTATCAGTGGCGTCACTGAATTGGCATCACAGCTCTCAGTGAGATGACTGCTGCAGGAAAGGGCCAGGCCGTGTTGAGAGTAATTTATATTCACCTGTGATATGACTGGTTTGTCCTTGAGTGTGTGGGTTTGTGTACAAGTCACCTTTCAGCCGGTCTGTAGGCTATAAAATAATGTGCTGATTATTTATATTCCCTCATTAAAACAAAGCCACCTGTCCAATTGCCTAAACTTTTATTTAGGTGCCTGTGGTATTAGTCTTTTGACTTCCATCTCTACCAACTGACCTCTCTGGAATGACTGCCATTCCTCCGTTCTTCATGCATCTTGAATTTCTAGACATACTGGTTTTGCAAGTGGTTTGTTTTATTTCTGAAGGTTTTTCACTTAAATAAGATGGTGGCAGCAGTATGATCATTCTTAGGCTGGGGGTAAAGAGAGGAGGGTGAGGGAGAAGGAAGATGAGCAATTAAGAGGTTTGAGAAAGAACATAGTGAGAATAAGCATTCTCTACAAAACATGGAACTGGCTTTGATTAAAACTTTCTGGTTCGGCTGTTCCACAATAAAATGAGGAGATCTCTCTGTACTAAGGATTTGTTGGCTACTTTAGGAGTATATGCTGCCATCAGCAATAGATGTACTCACAAGAAGTGATTCTCCTGTTTTATATTATCAGGTGGTGAATCCAGATACATATTTCATGTCCTCACTAGAGAGGTAGTATTTCAGGTTAGTATTTGGTAGGATTTTATTATTCTGCCTGAGTAGAATTTTGATTAGATTGCTACCTAAGTAGTCTTAAGCACTTTTTGTCCATCAAAACAGCCTTTGTGTGGGGGTAGGGGGATCTTACCTTTCCGTGAGCCCGTCTCCAAGGCACTGACAACACTTGGAGGTTTTTTTAATAATGCTTCCGCTTCCTGCTCTTTACAACCTCTTCTAATTGATTTGATTAAAAGTATAATACATTTTGGTGACTAATCATATGATATCTATTAGAATAATAAACCAGTCTTCTCCTCCTGCATTGGATTTCAAAATCTACTTATTTAAATCTGATCTTTTGGTAAAATAGGAAATGTGTTTCCAGCATTTTCAAGCAACTTTGACACAATAAATCCTTCTGATTTCATTCCTGTTAGATGATTGTCAAGACTTTGCTGATTCTTACCTCTTTGGATGTGCAGAAGGATTCCTCATATAGAAAAGGTTTTTTGAGGAACATCTTTGCAATGACGAATCGTAGGAAGAAAACGGAGGGAGGGGCAGTGTCTTGTTTTCTGCTGGTCAAAACATTGCAAACAGTTTGGTTTCATGAAGTGCTGACATTTCTGCCACACTCATAGAAGGGCAAATCAAAGGCTCAACAGAAGCAGGGGAGTGGTGTCCATGCTTGCATGGTTACTGTCGCTGCTTAAGCCTGTCTTTCCCAGTGTTCTCATCTAACATGGAAAAACTTGAAAAGCACTAAAGCTTCTTCAACTCAAATAGATTTTTTTCCAAGATTACTGCTATTTCAATTTCAAAGCCTGGGTTTTGATGTTTGGGGTTTTTTTCCCCAAAACACTAGTATCTAGATCAGACAGCTTGTTATGGTGGTATTCCTGGCAATAATTAGCCAGACATCTAATACAGCACTTCTCCAATACCATTTATGCTATTTAAAATGTTACATGTTGTCCTGGTTAGGACCAGATGATGTTATGAAACATCTTCTGGTTTCATAAATGCAGCATTCTCACAGCTATACTAATAAATTCTGTAGTTGCTCAATATTCTCTATCTAATTTTAGCCAGAAAATAGGATTTTGCAAGTTCTTCATAGCATTTTATTGATTCTAAGAAATCTTGGTTTTACATTCTTTTGATTAAACTGCTTCTTCCTTGCAGTAATATAAGAAGGCTCCGGGGAGACCTTATAGCACCTTCCAGTGCCTGAAGGGGCTACAAGGAAGCTGGGGGGGACTTTTTACAAGGGCCTGTAGTGACAGGACAAGGGGTAACGGGTTTAAATTGAAAGTGGGGAGGTTTAGATTGGATATCAGGAAGAAGTTCTTCCCGGAGAGGGTGGGGAGGCACTGGGACAGGTTGCCTAGAGAAGCTGTGGATGCCCCCTC